TCTTCTCTGTTAGATCTTCATTCATCAGAACTTTGGCTGTCTTACTGTCTGTTAGGACCCAGATTGTTGGGGGCAATATGCTGACTCTCTGTAAACCGCTTAGAGAGGGCTGTAAGCCCTATGAAGCGGTATATAAGTCTACTGCTATTGCTATTGCTATTTGTTTAAAGAGTCAGTGAGTCTTTGGAAATTTTGGTAAGTCTTTGGGTCAATTTTTATCAAATGGATGTACACCTTTCTAGCTTTGAAGGCTTCTAGATGCATTAATAGGGAAGCTGTTAAAATTTGAACTTTATTCACATGAGAAACAGATGATATGAAATAATCTTAATTTGAAAATGGGAGGAATCTTTCATTAGAAATTCTAAGTGGAGTAAGGGATCAATGCGTTGAATAGGTTAATTATTAATAGTACTTTAAGGATTTGCAGTTATATTTTGAATATACCGTAATTATCAATATATTCAGTTTAAATATGTATGATTAGAACAACATGGCCTAGATGTGTTTAGCAGCTTCAGAGAAACAGAAATTCTTGAATGTTCAACAATGTTCAATAGAAGCTGTATTTGAAATACAACCTAACAATTCAATTCTATACCAATTAAAGTTAGGACAGTAATATTTTTTGTGGAACAAGAAATCCTTGGAAAATCAATGGGCACAATTTTTAAAAAATGCTAAATACACTTGTGACATATAGATGAAGTCACTTGATTAGAAATTCTTGGTTCATGTTTACTGAACTTTCCAAATAAACTTTTTTTCTTATTTTTGTCATGGCATTTTTTCATGGCGGCATTGTAAGGTATTTCTGGGCTGTTTTATATACTTTGGTTGTGTTCGGTCATAGTTTCATTTGATTTCAAATCATTAATATAATTTTAGAGAATATAGTTAAATGAATTTCATTTCATATAAATGAAATTTTAAACTGCATTCCAAAATTACAGAATTTTACATTGTATTAAGAATTCTAAGAGTTCTTTACTTTCTGAGATTGGTTGTTTTCTTGCAGATGTTTTATTACCAAACTAGATAACATCATCAGTGTTAGTAGGGAGTGGGGTTTGCTCGCATTTTCCTCTAATTGGCACAAACATGGGGATTAGCTAAAAGAATCAGCCGATACAACACTCCCTGTGTCAAGAGTGAATTCTAGAGATGTGTTTTGATTTCTGAAATGTATTTATACTATAGAATGAGAAGATAGATTAGTATGCTTCTATATGGTCTAGATCTATATGACCAAGCTATAAAGCTATTACTATTATAAAGTTTTTTAAAAATCCATTATTATTTATTTTTAATTCTATTATTTCCATTAATTTCACAATAAAAGAAACCACAGTAGAATGAAGCAATTTATATTGATATATATAATTAGAGGTGTCTGGATAAGACATCTTGCTTTTGTATGTTGTGGTAGATACATTCTACTAATCTTGATAGATATATAAAATAGTGCCATTTTGCACAACCTTAATTCTGAGAACATTTATTACAAGGTTCTTACCCCAATACATAAATTTTTGCTTTCTCCATTTGCTGCTAGATAGGCAATTCCTGAAATGCTTGCATAAACTATTTTACTTTTAAAACATTTCTACTACGTTATCCTTAATTTATGCTTGTAAATTAACATGCTCCCCACTTACCAATCTTATTTGCAGATTTCTAAAGACAGTTTGGATTTTAATCTCAGTTCTCTATACAATCACCATGAAGACCTGCTTAAAAACAAAAGTCAAGTAGTCCTCCATAAAGAGACCCTCCTGGATGACCATGGGTAAACATAAGTTTTGTTTCTTCTAAATTTAAAAAAAACAAGCATCAGACTCCAGTGGATGCATACTCTAATAGTGCTGCAATTCTTGTAGCCATGAAACCAATAGTAGGATATACATTGTGTAATCAATAAGCCCATAGCCATAATACTATCAATCATTTTTATTAGATTATATATTTACATTAAACAAGTATTATCCACATAAGCCACATTTCCTTTTCTTCAGAGTAAATTTCAACTGGTATCAGACATGTAAAATACATATTTAATATTTTCAATTTGAAACAAAGACAAATATATGTGTGGAAATATAACATAGATGTTTCCAAGCTCTAGAATGCAGTCTCTTGACTACTGTATATACATATACTTGAGAATACCAGGGGTAGTTTAATTTATTTTCAGTACTGAGCAGATGATTAGACTCTATAGCCTAAATGGCCCTTTTTAAATCTATGAGTCAATAATTCCTGTTAGAATTCTAAGTGTTCTCAGACATTTGAGCAGTGCGCTACTGTTTCCTTAGCTAAATAGCCCTATCCTTCTTTTACTTAATAAAAGATTATTTAAAAATATGTTAATTCACCTTAATGTTTATCATTCAACAATTATCTCTGTCCAAAAGGCAACACTTTCTTGCTAATGCATGTCCTTTGTTTTTGAGCACGGCAGAACACTGAAGGTTTTAGAGCCTGTGAAGAAATACACTTCAGTTCAGCATCCTACCTCCAAGGGTATTACTGTGAGACACTGGGTTAATCCTGTAAAAGAATCTATCCACCACATTGAGGGAGCCATTGGTAAGCATGACCATTACATGCCTCTTTTGGTTGAAGAGGAGCTAGGATAAGAACAGAAACCTTTTCAGTAGATTGATTTTCAAATACCTTTCCTTCAAGTTAGTTTAGATTATTTTATCCAGCTTTCCTTTAAGACAATATATTATATCCTTAATCACAGTTCTGTGTTAAAAGCCTCTTCACTCAGTGGATAATAACAGAGTGTTGTAAACTTTGTATTAAAAATATTTAAATCCCAATAGTGAAGTGGAATCTAAAATACAATAAAAATTGGTAGTTCTTTAAAAAAAAGTTCCTGGCTATATAACTTATAGTATTTTAAAGATAGAATCAATAAAAAGTCAAGAGAGTTCTGTAGCTTTGTTCCATTGTAAGATACCAGGTGTGTGTGTGTGGGTGGGTGTGTAGGTGTTGGGGGGGGGGTCAATTCTCAGAACAGTGAATGATAGCTGACAAAATGATTTGTCTTTGTTTGCAGAAGCTCCACATACTGCTGCCACAAATAGTGGATATTCCCGTAAAGAGAATGGTGGGATCTTCTATCATTAATGATTTTTGCAGAGTCATGTTGCAGCTTTATTCCCTTTGGCCTGTAATTGCTGCCCATATGCTAACTCTTGGCTCACTGTATGCTTAGCTTTCAGATCATCCATTAAACCAGCCAGCTTCACTGAATTTTAGTAAAAGCTCAACTGTGCTGTATTTGAAAAAGCAGCCTGTTCTTGCCAATGGACCGAGCCCCAAACATAATAATTCAGATATTTGATTAGGAGGAGTCAAATAATAAAATCTAGTCTACTTTGGACTCAGCTCCAAAGAAGATACTATTTATACTGAACCATAAACAGTATTAATTTACACAATCTTAGCTAAAAGTATCTTGGTTAACATCTCCAAAGCAAAATATGAACATTGATTAAATTTTCAAAAAAAAAATGTTTTTCAAACACAAAATACAAATACTTCATTCCTAAATTATTCCTAATACACTTATGGAGTACTTCAGAACACAAGTCTTCACAAGAACAGAGTGATCCAATTTCTGAAGATTAAAAGTATTATATCAAGATCAAAAAGAATGCCAACCAGGAACAAAGGCTGAATGCCAAAATACACAATTCTATAACTTTTTTAAAAAGTTCTGCAAGTACAAAAATTGCCATAGATCAAGGGGACAAAGCACCTGATGTCATTTATAAACGCAATGGCTGTGTGCAGACAAGTTTAACAAAAGCAAGCTGAAGCCAAAGTTTGCCAATACAACTGAATCTCAAATCTAGCACATTATTGAACTGATATTTTCCCTTGGAGTTTTAAGCCTGGTACTTTTGAAACATGTTAGATTATTAGCTATGCTAAGTATGGGGTGTGAGAATTTTGTTCTTAAGAAAAAGGACAAGAGACCCAAGAAAGACAAGTTTCTGTACCTCTCAGGTTTATTCACTTCCTGTCTCCTGCACTGACTCAATTTTTGATCCTTTATCTTCACATATAAAGGCATACTTTTAAAGAATTTATCTCTTGTCCATTTTGTTCATTATTAAGTATTAACTCCCTCCTATTGCAGTTTTTAAACTAATCCATGCTGCAGTAACATTCCCCTAGAATCAACTCATTCTCTTCTGCTGATCTTTTTTGCCACTCTAATATGCATTTTTAATTAATCTTTTCATCTGCCTTCTTTCATATTATTGCCTTCTGGTTCCTGTGCTGCAATTTTTGTTTTTCAAAAAAAAAAGGTAGATTCCAGATAATAGTTTCACATTTTAGTTTCAAACAATTATATTCCTTCTTGTATATGAATATCAAATCATGCAATTTCATGAAAACATTCTAAGCATTATATTATCTCAGTTAATTAGCATTAAAGGTTTCATTATATATTAGTATCAAGGACATTTGGAACATAATTTCTTCCCAAGCCAGTTCTTGCTGATTTGAATTGAAAATTCATCTGAAGTCAGTTTCTCCTGGTTTAATATATCACAGTGCTGGAATGCCTTACAGAAATGGAGATAGGCACTGCCCTAAAGTTTCCTATGACTAACAGAGTAAAACCCCTTGATATATTATGTTTTTAATTAAAAAAATAAAATTCAGATAAACAAATGTGAAATTTCCACTCTAAATTGTTTGGGGAGAATTTCAAGACATACTAAGAATGTATATTGCTAAACATATTTTAGGCATTTTTTTCCAACCAACTGCAAAAATCTACAATTAAGCATCTAAACTCTAAAATTAATTAATCTAAAATTAGCTTGCTTGCCCTACTAGATCAGGGGTTCCCAACAGGATGTTCACACTCCCTGGGGATGTGAGATATTCCAGGGGGTGCGAAAACTTGCGTTTAGAAGTTTCAAAATTAGAGTGTATATGCATAATTATATGCATATAATTATTTACTTTTGTAAGGGGTGCAAGAATATATCGGAAGTGTTCTAGGGGTGCACCCTGATATAGAAAAGATTGGGAACCCCTGTGCTAAAGTTTCCAATAAGATTTTTTCCCCCACAAAATGACCACTTATTACATTCATATACAAGTTTATCACTCCCTGAACATTATCTCCTTATATTCTCAAGAGCACAAACTCTTTGCAAAGCCAAGTTTCATAGAAATTTTACTTCTGTGTATATTATATCTCATGCTAGTTTCAGCCTTCTAACATAGAAAACAAGCAGCTTTAGATTTACCTATAATTTTCTCATTCTCTGCATTACAGCAAACAAAATTTTGCTGTATATTCTCTGCAGTTGCTATCATGGAAAGATTACATCCCCAAAACATTGAACCCAAATATTTATTTCTAACATAATTTTAGCACAATATGAGTATCTCATGCACCTTAAATAACATTTAAAATTAAAGATAAGCTCAACAAGCTAGACCAGTGGTTAACCTTTTGTTGTCGCATGCTGAAAGGGGGTGTGCACATAGCCAGTGCAATATGTGCGCAACCCCCTGCGTGCCCCACCTTCTTGCATGCACAACCCATGCTCCCCTGCCCCCCATGCATGTGTGACCCCCCACATGTACCCTGTCCACCTCACATGCGACCCCCTGGCCCCCCATGCATGCGTGTCTCCTGCATGTGGCCTGCCCCCCCGGCATATGTGCACCAAAACCCAAAAAAACAGCTGGCTGGCGGGAGGTGCATGCGCATGTGCGGTGGAGCTGAGCTGGGGCAATGGCTCATATGTCCACAAAGAGGGCTCTGCGTGCCACCTGTGCTATATGTTCGCCATCACGAAGCTAGACAATACATTGTGCTACATTTTAGAAGCATATTGCCAGATCTCACATTTTAAAGTTTAAATTTTTTAACAAGTCAAAATATAGGCTTTCCACTTAAGTTTTCTGCCCAGTCATAATCAATTCTAGGGGGTGGTGCTCATCTCTATTTCTTAGCTGAGGGAGGCAGCGTTGTTCTAAGATGCTTCCGTGGCCATCATAACTATACGCTAAAGTGCACAGAATGCTATTGTTACCTTCCCACTGAAGTGGTACCTATTTATGCACTTGCATAATTTCAAACTGCTAGGTGAGCAGGATCTGGGGTAAGTAACAGGTCACCTTGCCATGCAGCATGCATTCACGTTTTGAACTCAGGCTGCTGGCTAAACAAGCTGTCTTTTAATTGCTATTATGCCCAAAATATATTCCATATATGCATAATTCTTACTTGCCAAGAATGCATACTAAGACATGAAAAAGCAGAAATTAAACTAGAGTGTTAAAGATGAAAGAACAAAGTACAGCTCAAAGTAACTTAACGAAGGTTTCAAGCGAGGTCACATTTTGATATTTCAGAGGTGTTGCTGGAACTTTTTAAACTCCCTTGATTCCTCATTATTGACAATGATAGCTGGGAGGTTCTCATTCTGTTTTATGTTGGAATTTTAATTTGGAAACTAGAAATAGCATTTTTTTTAAAGTAAAAAAGCAATTTCCCAAACTTGTATGCACACATTAGTTCCTGAAGAGGAAGCTCTTAGTTTGTAGCTGTAAGAGACAGCACCTTATCCACCATGCGCCCTTATACCTTGATAATATCGATTTTATCGGGTTTTTTTAAAGGCGCATACCATCCTCAGATCGATCTTTAGAGCATCGCCAGCCTCTTGGGCGCATTAACTTTTATTAAGTTTTAAAGAAAGCACACTCAACTGCCAGCACAGGGCTGTTAAGGAAAATCGAATCCTGACTTTACTGGACGTCGGTGCTTCTAGCCCGAAGAATAAAATGCCCGCCAGAACAAAGAAGTTCCTCGACTGAAGCCGGATCAGAATCGCTTCGATACACATTGGCTAGGAAGAGGAATTTTCCAACCTCCAGCCTCATCTATCTGATCAATTCATCATCTCCGACAATACGGCCGCACGCTCATTAAACCTAAGCTTCTCTGTACAGCGCCAAGGGCTTCACAGAAGCGGCTCTTTTCATTTCAGGCCGGGAAGGCGGCGACATCTCGGCCCGATCAAATAAGATCAACGTGTAAAAGGAACGTAATTGTTGCAGAGCAGGGCAACACACATACACCTCCCGAAGCCTCACATAACACACACACAAACACGCTACAGGCGCGGTTCAAGCAAATCCCCCAAACCACACTCGCTCCCACTCACAAGCACGCCACAATCACTCGCCCTGACTGCCAACACAAAGATGGCCGGGCTTGCCTCCGCGGTTTATCTACTCCGCACTGCATTCTGGGTATCGCAACAGATCTCTGGCCGGGGCTCGCGCGAGCTGCGGCTTTCCGTGAGATCCCAGGAGGGAGGAGGGAGAGCTGCGCGTCGGAGCCGCGAAGGAAGCCGGCGCCTGATAGGGCGTTTTAGTTACCCGGTGTTCGAATGGCCGGAATTTCGAAAAGAGTTTAAGGCTGCTGGATAAGTCGTTTCAGAATAATATATGGAGGGTGGGGGAGTAGTTGAAGTACTTGACATAGTTGCCTTTTCGCTTAAATAGTACTGCCTTTTCATTTGAATTTGCTCTTCTCCTTCCCCCACGCATCCGTGATTATTTGTGTGCTGTATTTCCACGTTAATCTCCAAAGGCTCACCGGAACTACACAGATCGTCAGTCTGTACAGTAAGCCTTTAACAGGGTAACAGTATATTCTATTCGTTCCCCTTTCTGGATGTAAGCATATGGTTTTCTTATTGGCATTTTATTGTGTGCCTAAACGTTTTAACTATGGTGTTCATCAAAACATCATCAACAATGAGAATTGATATAACATTTTATTAATTATATGTGCACAGTATTTCGTAATAAATACTATCTGCATTAGACTAACGAGAACAATCGCAGCTAAAATCTCAAAAGTGACATCCCTATAATTAGAAAATTTGGGGTTACCACGTGACAAGGCAAGTTTCTATTAAGCAGCTTTTCTCAAACTCAAGAAATTTTAACTACTACCCAACCCTGGATAATGCTGGGAGTTGAAATCCACACATCTTAAAAATAACACAGAAATAACTTCAGGAACAAGAAGGAATACAGGTATTCAACTTGCTTGGTGGGAGTTTGAAAAAAGTGGCTTGACTCATTTTCATATGGCCATTGCAGCATCCCCATAGTCACGTGATCAAAATTCGGATGCTTTGCAACTGGTATATATTTTCTGAAATGTTTTTGAAATGTAATGAACCAGTTTGATCATTTTTCTTATATGATCAACCTCTTTGGAAAATAATTCATATTAGAATAAAACATGTGTTTAAAGTTTTGTAACCTGCAATATTTTTATTGAATTTTACCAAGTTGTATATTCCATCTAAAGTTACAGAATTAGCTGTTATATATGTTACCTGCAGAAAAAGTATATGTTTTTATTGAAAAGGATGTTTGATTCCTTCCTTGGAAGAATGGCTGTCAAGTTATAGGAATATGCTTGATGTCCAAAGTAACTTCATTTTAAAGAGTAAATCTTGATGCGGAATTCTATTTCTAACTGGAAACCATTTTTCATAGATCTGTACTACACCTCAAATTTTTCTACACTGGAGTCTGCATTTCAATTTTATGAGAAATTTGATCTCTAATGTTGATCTAATTATATCCCATTTTTTCAAGGAGTGTTTTATATTTTGTTAACCAATAATAGCAATTTTAGTTTTTCCCTTAAAAATGATATATTTCATAGCTTTATGGGCAACTAATATATTTAAAAATAATTTTCATAACACTTCAGATGGTTTACTTATCTTTTTATTTGTTTTTTTATTAATTATTCATATTCTTTTAAAATGTGTAATATAAAGAAGAAAAAACCTAAATACTTCACTGCAAAACTTGGTCATCAGCTTTAGGTGAAGAAAGGAAATGTAGAGAAGATTTAATTGATCAAGCAAATTCACTTCCAATGGTTAAAAGAAATTTAAATAGACTTTACACTATATATATAATCATGGGACAAGTTATCACTGAGGTATCTTCTGGATAGCTGGAAACTAAGCAGACTTTAGCATTTTGAATAATAGAGCTAACACTAAGCCATTTCTTAT